TCCATAACTCATTGTCAATAATGCATCCATGTAAATTCAATTACAAACAAGAGCAGCAAGGTGACTGCAGACCTTCACCGCAGTCTTGCAATGTTCAAGAAAGTCAAGATCTTGGTCTGGTTTCAGATGATCACAGAAAGACCAAGATCTGATCATCTTCCTTGCCTAATAATTGAACCAGATCAGTATATTTGAAGTTCTGTGAGGGGACACAGACAAACAGATGGAACACCTTATCTAATTACAATGCCCTTAAAACATTAGATCTCTTAGAAATGTAATGTGCTAAATCAACAATGAACTGACTTCAAATGAAACATTGACTGTTTGCTATTGTCATACAACTATGCTAAGTAAGTGCAAAACAATATAATGCAATTTAAAATCATAAAACTGTACAGTATTATGTAAACAAATATGTGCAGTGTGCTGAAGAATGTGTGTCCTGTCATCCCTGTTACTCTGGTCAGTCCTGTGACTATGACATCAATCCTGTTACTGTCATTAATTGAATAAAAATAGTAAAACATCATATTTGATACAGCCGTCCAGGTTGTACCATTGTAACTTTATATTTTATTTTGGACAAAGCCCTTTTTTATTGTCTCTCTTGTGAAAATATATATTTTTCCTAATTGACATGTGGTCACCCTCCAAAATTAGGATGTTCTTGGTCATCTAAATGACAAATATAAAAATATAAAAAAATCCAAAATTTGAAACAATCCCAGTGAAAAGAGGAACTAAAATGCTCCTCATATATGTGAAAATGATCACATACTTCTATTTAAACTATAGTATCTAGTAACAGGGTTGACAAAAATACCAAAACATGAGGTAGAAAAATAGTCATAAAAGAATAAATTACATAGCCTGACATGGCGCAATACAATTTCTTGTCATTTTAAGGTGTCTTCATTTCATGGATATGTAAAGAGTGTTGATTAAACGTTTTATTTTTTAATTCTTCCAAGTGGAAAAGGCACCGATTTTGTGAAATTACCTTATTGTTCTGGGTGGTTGCAGTGGCATTGCTATAAGGTTCTGGCTGGCTGCAGTGGCATCTTTTCCTCATTAAATGATGCAGAGAGTGAGCTGCAAGAATTTCTTGAATACCTGTTTTCACTACTTGGCTGTTGAGAAATTAATTCCTGTACTTCAAAGGAGAGCAATAACTCAGTTTGAGGTATTGATTTAGTCGGTTTCATATTTCTCATTCCTTCCATTGGCTCTTGCATACGAGTGGATGCAAGAGTCTCTAGTGAGAACTGTGGAACAAAAGGTCTGCTCATCCTTACCATTAAAGCTTCCCAGTTAAATTTACCTGTTGAAAAATCTCTGTAGCAAAACATTTTTCCTGTCCATTCAACCCACTTATCAGAAAGTTTTAATGGAGCTTTTTTTCCCCTGTGCTATTCTATATTTATTTATGTATTGAAATGACGCTTAGTGGAGGGTCATTATGTGCTGGGACTAATTTGATAGTGTCTGTCAGTTATTATGCAAACCTGTCATCATGACATTTTAAAAGCAGCATGTCTGAAAATGTCAGTGGCCTCGGTGGTCCGATCCCTAGCTGTGTAAACGATGAGACCAGTCTCAGCCAAAATATAAACATGACCGATTTAATCTGCTGTGAACATTCTGCTGCTTTGTGATAATTTGCAATTAAAATATCAAAACAGATGTAAAACACAAAACACATTTGATACAGACTTAATGAAAATGCAGAATGGTGTAACCAGTTTCTGTCAATGTTGTATCACGCTGCTGTTATTGATGCACCTGTCAGCTTGTGCCCAGATTCATACGTGTGTTGCACCCAGAACAAAATTTACAGAGCCGTGAGTGCTGACGCAAATGGGTGTTACACTATTCTGTGCCAAACCAATTCTTTCAGCCCTTTTGTCAGGTACAGTGTTCGCGCCTGACAGTTTAAAACTGATCTCAAGTCATACAATTATGAAGGTGCATCTAAAAATGGTTTGGAACAACATGAGGGTGAGTGCCTTATGGCGCTTTTCCACTGCATGGTACGGCACGGTACGGTTCACTTTTGGGGGGTTTTCCACTAGGTACAATACCTGGTACTTTTTTTAGTACCACCTCGGTTGAGGTTCCAAGTGAACCGTACCGTTACCAAAACGTGACGTGTAAACTCTGCTGATCACTGATTGGCCAGAGAGAATCATCACTACCTGCGTCACTGAACACAACAGAACCGCTAGATTTAAAACAGCACAGCCAGCGAAGGATCGAACGCAACGGTTTTGAACGTGCACACCTTTTTTTTAACAACCAAAAAGCAGCTGTTTCGTTGTCTGTTGAGGAAGTACAGACATTCCTCTCGTTGATAGCAGAGGAGTGGATCCAGCGAGAACTTGATGGGGTGACGCGGAATGAAAGTTTTTCAGGAGTCGCTGCAGTAGAGGCGGCGCAACTAACGACATGTGAATAATCCCGCCCACTCTAAAGCGATACTAAACTGCAGTGGAAACGCGAGCAGAGTCGAGTCGTACCACGCAGTGGAAAAGCGCCATTAAATAGCACCTTATTTTTAGGAACTGTTCTTTTAAGCTCGAGCAGAAAACTAAATGTCATAAAAATATGGGACATTTATTTTAGCTGCTAATTTTATTAGTCCACAGTACAAAATAAAGACCTGTCCTGGAATATCATGAAGTCCTCAGTGACCAAATAATTCCCATACAAATAAAAAATAAAAAATAGGAAAAACAATACTAAACAGTCACTGAACAAACATGTTAAAAAAAAATAAAGAGTTTGAATGTAAAGACAAACACAAATCAGAAGTGAGGATCCACTGATCAAAGCCTCAGTTACAGTCCAGTAAGTGTGAGCCAGGTCACTTTTTGGCATATGTGATTTTCATGGCACACGTGGCTGTGATTCTGAATCCCTGCAGAGCATCTTTCGCTACTCCAGCTTGAGCCTCGCTCTCAAACTCCACAAACGCAATGTCATGCTTTCCAGGGACCAGGCGCACTTCTTTAAACCCTGGAAACCTGAAAAGATGGAACAAGATGGGGAGTAAAAACAATCTGGAGACAATCTTGCTGAAAAAGCTGGGTGATATATAAATCTATCAATATTTATGCATTTTTAATCAAAAGGGGAAACAGAGTAGATTTAAAGTGTTTAAGTTAAACGTTCTCTGCATTAAAAAAAAAACATCACTATAACAATACATAAAAAAAGGTTATAGACAATAATTTTGCATTTATTACCAAAACATTTACTTTTTTCAAATGTTTACTGGTTTACTATATTGAAAACTTACTGGTTGAATAACATGGAGAGCATCATCTCATTGGTTTCTTCTGGGAGATTATTCAGGAACAGAATATAATTTGGTGGGTTGTCAGGGACCTAAAACAATATAAAATCATTTCTTATTAGGTACATAAACAAAACAATGTATTTTTTAAAAATACAAAAAAAATCAAATCACAAAATAAGCATGTCAATTGTGTGACGTACCTGGACTGTGGCAGGTGGAGGAGGTTGTGTGTTTACTGCTCCCTGCAGGGGAAAAAAAAAAGTCAAACATTTTTAAGCAAAATTTACTCGGTTGATCTGGTTCTTTAAATGTACATTTCACCACAACTAGGTCGTCAATATAATTTTCTAATCACAATGCCTCAGCAAACATGCATTTCAACTCACCGCTGGTTTCGTGTTGAAATTGGCAGCCTGTTCCTGAGCTTTCTTTTTCTTCTCTTTCTTCTTTTCTTTATCTCCATACGTGCCTCTCGTCTTAGAGATCAGATCTGAGTCGGTTTTTGCATACTGGATTCGCTACAAGTACAAGCTAAGATTAGGGACTGAGAAATGTGTTCCTTTCTAATGCTTTGTAAAGTGTAAACTGATAAATAATATGAATGACTACATCTGATAAACACCCTGAGTGAATCACAGATGAAAGAAACTAAATACAGGCAGGTAAATACTGGCATTTTCACATTATAGATAAACATCTCCCTGAGTGATCTAATTATAACTTAAAGGTTAAAGTGAATCAAAGGACCATATTCCGCTCATTATTTCCTGAAATGTTGATCGTGTGACTGCTTTGTAGTTCTTATGAGCTGTGGCACTGACCATGGGTTTATTGTAGAAAGGGAATCCCTGAAGCTGTCTGAGGGCATTGGTGGCTGCAGCAAGCTCTTTGAAGATAACAAAAGCCTGACCCCTCATCTTTGTGGTCTTTAGCGCAACAATGTCCAGAATCTGGCCGAACTGGGAGAATAAGGCGTACAGGGATCTCTTCAACTCTAGAAAAGACGCAAGAGAGAAAAAAAAACTGCACAAAAAGTTTCACAATCATATCAATTATATAGTTTAATGGTCAAAGGGAGAGAGAGAAAAAGAGCAAACATGTCTAAGACTTTACCTTCTTTCTTGATCTTATCGTTAACATTGTTGATATAGATGGTGTGATTCGGTCGTATGTCCATGATTAATAATCTCAGGTAAAACCACACTAAAATACAGAGAAAGGCACAAAAAGACAATGAATACAGTGAGCAGTTAACGTGAACAACTACACACTTATTGTACGTTAGTACAGACTATTGTTAATATCGCTGAGTGCTGCTTTTCTAAATTATAAACGTACAAATAATTTACTAAACATTATTAAAACTGAATGAATCGCCTCAAACAAACTCACCACACTGCCGAGTTCAAGCGGAAACTGCCGCTAGGCTTCTTCCTCCTTTGGTTTATTGTTGTGAAACAGTTGCGCCACCTGCTGTCGCGGAGTGATATAAACATCTTTATACAACAGTTCCAGAGCCATAGAGACCTGCAAATACTTTAAGATAAACATGTTCTGAGTGGTTGCTAGGCAGTTTTCAGTAAGACAGACATATGGAATCACTAATATTCTGGGCCAGTTTTGTACCACTTCTGAAAACATCGTTTAAAAATCTAAGACACATTCAAAAAGATATGAAAATGAAAAAATTTTATTGATTTTACATCCAGAAATGAAGAATACACACCATAAAAAAAACAAATGAGAATATAATACATTCTGGTTCATGCACAGTTCATTATTTGCGATATTATGTTGGACATATCCAGTTGACGTGTGTTTTGTGATATGTTGAGTGCTTCTCTCATTGATGGACAGTGTTTGTGTTCAGAGTGTGTTGATGCTCTGTAGCTTGCGCTCAGTGAAAAAGCGGTGTGTGTCTCGTGTGTGTGCGAGCTCTGACGGTTTGCTACGGCTGAAATACGACAGCACTGAGGTGTTATTCTGACGAGCAGCGGCTTTTTCTCCATCTTCCTCATCATCGTCCCTACACACAAACAAACACACTTAATATTAATATATAAATGCACAAGTACTAACAGAAAAAATATTTTTGTATATAACATTTGATGTGTAAGCACTAAAGAAAATGAAAGTGAGTGTTTTCTGAATCTGAAAAGGCAGCGGCCTCTGCTGTCAGACTCACCAGTGAACAGCAACAGCTTTACTGTCCATGAGCGTCTGCGCTGTGCTCCAGCTGAACCTCACAAACTGAGGATAACCAAACACTGGGTCCAGAAACTTCAGCAGCCAGCTCTTAGTTTTGGGATCTAAACACACACAGAATAAATCATAATATTTACTTTGAGCCTAGTACTGAACTCTTGGGGTCTGTAAAAATTTTTTATGTTTTTGAAAGAAGTCTCTTCTGCTCACCAAGGCTGAATTTAATTGATCAAAAATACTGTCATATTGTGAAATATTTTTACAATTTAAAAGAAGTGTTTTCTATGAATATATTGTAAAATGTCATTTATTCCTGCTGAATTTTCAGCATCATTATTCCAGTCTTCAGTGCCACGATAACTTCAGAAATCATTCTAATATGCTGATTTGCTGCTCAAGAAACATTTCTGATTATCAATGTTGAAAACAAGTTGTGCTGCTTCGTATTTTTGTGGAATTTAGAATCTGTTTTTTAGAATCCTTTGTTGAATAGAAAGCATTTATTTGGAATAGATTAGCGTTTATTTTGTGTTACATTATAAGTGTCTTTACAATCATTTTTGATCAATTTAATGCGTTCCTGCTGACAAATAGTATTAAAGTAATAATTAAAAAAAAATGACCCCAAACTTTTGAACAGTAGTATATATGTGCCAGAAAAACAGCAGTAATTGACACTAGTGCTCATTTAAAAATATCTAAATATGATTAGTCTACCTTTAATTGTAAAAAAAATAAATAAAATAAAAACACTTGTATGGAAATGGAAGGAATCTTATATGAAATAAACTGACCATTAGGATACCCAGAGCCATAATCTGTGTCCACTTCACCCAAATCTTCTGCAAATTTCCAGGATTTGACAGCATGGTCTCTAGCCACCTACAAAGAGAACACATTAGTCAAAAATATAAAAAAAAAAATCTAATCATATGCATATATCTTTCTTATAGTGTTAGCAGATATTTTTCCTCTAATAACTGACATTCCCCTTATATCATCCACCTCTGAAGGAACCATTACCTTGGCACAGATGCTGGCAGCGCTGACGATGGGGAAGAGAGAATCAGCTTTGGGACGGACGGTGACCTCCACCCCCGGGAACCGCTGGGAGAGCTTCTCCTGATACTTCTCTGCAGGACCTACTGTATCCACAAACACCTGAGAGGTATGAAAAACACGGCATTATAAAAATTATATATATATATAATTATATATAAATATATATATATATATAAATATAAAATTAAATATTGCATGCGATTTATCGTGCAGCCCTAATATATATATAATCAATTATAAAAAATATATAAAATTTATAAATTATAAAAAAAGAAAAGAAAGCCACGTCGTACCGGCTTCATCACCAGATCTGCTGTCTATCATACAGGTGTTGGTTTGTACCTCTTTGAGCTGCACCCCACAGTCCAGGGTGTCCTGCACCAGACCAATCGCTGCATCATGTGACAGCGCATTCAGATTGTATTTTGCTCTGAAAATAAAAGCACAACAGGTTTAAAAGATTCTCTCAACTCTAATCACCAGCCTTGGCATGCATGCAGTGAAATCATGTGTGCATGTACCTCTGCAGCATGCTGGTGGAAATGGTGTTTGGTGAGAGGATCTGAAGGGCCCAGCCTACAAAATCTTTGGCCTCATCGATCTTCAGAAACAGGTTCTCTCTCTCTGCCTCTGTCAGCGTCTTTGAGTCTAAACATGTGACAAAAATACTGCAGATTTCCACCGAATCTGAACTCCTGTCAAGATTTGCTCTGTATAACCAACCTGCCACTTTCAAATTCTTGAGGTCTTCCTTTCTGGATACAGGACAGAAGCATATCCCATACACCATGGGTCCTGAAATACAGCACGTCAAATTTATACTCCAGTTTATAAGTTATACAGTTATACTCGTCCAATGAGGATGACACTCACCCAGTACAGGACCCCTGCCTGCCTCATCGATGCCCAGGCAGCAGTCCTCTGTCTTACACACATCCGGGGTGGACGAGGACAAGCGGCAGCTCACAGAGTTATCCGCCTCAAAATCACTCAGATCCATGTCTAATCATTTGGATAAAAAATGACAACTTTTTTTAACAAAATATATTACAATTAAGTAAACATAGGTATGAATTTTAAGCTTAATTTAAGCTTTACAAAAATGCATATCACAAAAATTATTAAATGAATATCATTAATAACATTACAAACAATAATAAATAAAAGACTTTGAAAAATATAAATTAAGCTTCAAGCTAACAACCCACTAAAATTTAGCTCTATCATTCCATCCTTTATTATGGAAATTGGTTACAAAATAAAAGCTTTCCATTTCAAATAAATGTTTTCCTTTGGAACTTTATATTCATCAAAGGACTCTTTAATAAAATATTAATAAGCAGCACAATTTTTTTCAACATTGATAATAAGAAATATCTTGCTATTGTGCAAATAATCAAGTTATATTGAATAGTATTCGACCAGAGCATGTTTCTAAACATATAAAAACATATCCATAAATCACAACACATGTATTATTATTCCCTGTATAAAATAAATAATTTAAAAGGCACGTCTTTAACAGAAATGACCCACAACACATTTTCTCCCGCATCTGATACTGAAATCAATCAATAATACGAGATCATACAAATAATTTAGTCAAAATAGTACGAACAATGAGTGGAGAAAACATGGTTTATTCACTCTTATTAACTAACTAACAGGGTATTCAAAAGCATCATAGAACAGTGTGCTTAACAATTAAAGTGTGTAAAAGTTCCTGCATAAACAAACTTGCACGAACCTGTGTGTGTTTGCAGCGCGCCTCAACCGGAAATACAGAATTGGCGGGAGTGTGACAGGTCAGCGTGACCTTTGACCGACAATACTGGAAGGACAAAGAGTATTTATTACTGCATAGAAAAATACGACGCACACTGAAACATATTTAAAAACACAGCTAATGTCTAAAACCATGCAGCGAACGCGTTTAAATGTGTGCCTCCACAACTCTCTATCGCAGTGGTTTGTGGGAAATGGAGTTCAGGGGATGTTTGGCTATTTTCCCGATGTTATCTACTAATTCAGTGTTTATTTGCATTTACGCGATTGCAGAAATGTATAAGACAAAATCACGAATAGAGAGGTGAGCAATAAATTATAAATAGAGGTTAAGAGTGATGAATTGTCATTGATTAAGTATAAACTTGAGGTTAGCATTGCAAAACGCTATGCATATGCTTTTTGTGCGGTTTGTTCTCATGTTGTGGCTGTAATTAGTTTTTTTAATGTATTTTTAATTTTCTGATATGTATGTAGGTCAAAACCAAAAAATACAAGACATCATGTGCATCTAAATGCACTGTTTTCTGACATGTTTCTGAAATCGTATCCAAACTGGAATCTGCCATACAACTAAAACGCAAAATATGGCTTTAAATTGTAAACGAAATGCGTAAAGTGAGGCGGTGCACTGAAGCACATGGCTCCTCCCTCTTTACGTTGAGTTTTGCAGCAGGTCGCGCGGCTGGAGCTTCTTGTGCATCAAGGGAAAGTGAAGTTTCGCTTCCACATCACGGAACAGGTACGTTTTTAATGTCAACATAGTACTCTTTTGCCTAAAAGCTTAATGGTTATTTACATGCACAAATGCTTAATGCGTATTTTTGCTGATTATTACTGAGCAAAAGAGCGCGTGGAAAACGCCGGCGCTGTTCTCTTGCAGATTGCATCATATTTGATCAACTGTTGACATATCTTAACGCATTAAAATATATTTATTGCGTCAGACTGTGAGTATTAGTCATTTCAACTGTTATGATTCACGCAGTGCTACTTTTATGCAGTAGCACTCGACTGATCAGGCTTAGGTCTCGTGGCTAAGCAGCTAACGTTAAATGACTTTCTGAATATATCAGGCGTTATATTCAATATGTATTTCGTCTTTTGCATGTTTCCAGACACTGTATATTACAAGTCAACATGCGTCTTTCCAATTATAGCAGAGCATTAAGTTAGTGCACACTTGTCTCGGCCTTCTCCAGCCCATTTTCACCTTTTTCCTGCAGTTTTTTAGGGCAAAGTCTCGGAGGGCCGTTGACCATTCTTGTGTTTTCTAGGGGTGGATACTATCAGCTTTTAGCAGAGATACTGACTGAGCTGACAGGCGCTATCAGGGCCACACGGAAGGCGTGGAATCGACCTCTGAGCCAAGTGCACTTATAAAACACGTTCAAGTCCCTCTTTTAAGGGTAAAATGATTCAAATGCTCTTGCATTTGGTCTGTAGCTGAACTGAGATAAAGACTTGGGTAAAAGGCCATATTTAGACTGAACCACTTCTTGAGTCAGAAGCCCATTGTTCAGAACAACTGACTATCATGTGACCTGCAGTGTGTGTGTGTGTGTGTGTGTGTGTGTGTGTGTGTGTGTGTGTGTGTGTGTGTGAGTGATCCACTGCAAAGCGTTTGCTTACATTATGAACTGATACTCTGGTTCAAACACGAAAAGTTACTTATCTTGCTGATTTTTTGTCTCTCTTTCCTGTTCTCATTTCAGAACTAATATTTTGAGGTAAATATCATTTGGTAAATTACTTAAATGAGTTTAAGTCACCCAAAAATGAAAATTTCTGTCATCATTTAATCATGCTTAAGTTGTCCCAAACCTATGTGGATTTCTTTCTTCCGCTGAAGATATTTTGAAGAATGTTGGTAACCAAACAGTTTTGGTTCTCATTGACTTTCATAGCATTTTTTTCTCCATACTATGGAAATCAATGGAGTCCAGCAACTGTTTGGTTACCGACATTCTTCAAAATATCTTTTTATGTTCATCGGAAGAAAGAAATTCCCACAGGATTGGAACAACGAGTCAATTTGCTGTTTTTTCCTCTTTTTTTTTTTCTTTTTTTTTTGCTGTCCTGGTTAGAGCCCGACCGATATGAGTTTTTCAGGGCCGATACCGATATTAGGGAGTTTAAAAAAGGCCATATATATATATATATATATATGGTACCACAAGAAAAAAGTTGTTGTTGTTTTGGGTTTTTTTTGTCAAAAAATATTTTCTGCAATTAATTTAAAAAAGTTTTTAAATTTGTAATTAAATGTGTGGTGTAAGTAGCAGCAATAATAATAATATTCCTGATGTTCTTGGATTTTTTTGGTCAACAGTGACGAGCAATCTTCAAGATGTCTTCTGGAAACGCTAAGATCGGTCAGCCTGCTCCTCAGTTCAAGGCCACAGCTGTGGTAGACGGACAGTTTAAAGACATTCAGCTCTCTGACTACAGAGGTGAGCATCAGACGCTCCACACACTGTGTTTTGTAAATAGAGAGTATTTGAAATGTCATTCTAACCTACTTTTGCTTTCCATTGCGTCACGATACTAGCCATCAAACCCACTAACTGGGTTACAGGTGTGACCTGTTTTCACTTCATCTTTATTTTCCCTCCATTTCTCCTTTAGGGAAGTATGTTGTGTTGTTCTTCTATCCACTCGATTTCACCTTCGTGTGTCCTACTGAGATCATCGCGTTCAGCGATCAGGCCGCTGAGTTTCGTAAAATCGGCTGCGAGGTCTTCGCTGCCTCCACCGACTCTCATTTCAGCCATCTGGCATGGTGAGGGTCCTGCTTTTATTCCTACATATTCCACATCTAAAGGGCTAAACTAGCTACTTTAGAGAAAAATCTATATTTGATATCGTTAAAATGCCTTCAATCTAGTGCCTTCATTATAAAAAGTAATTTATTATAGATCAATAGTGCTAGTGATCCTACACTGTACGTTAGGTGTCACTGTTGGTTTTCTCTCGCTTGTGAACGTGATTCTTAGCGGGCTTTCTATGGCTTCACCCAGTTAGTGGTTGTCTTCTATGTTCTCCTAACCAGCCTGGCTTTGATAAGAGCTACTATAGAGTGATAGAGAGGCACAGATAAAGGAAGGGTGTAGCGCTTTGTTAGTTCTAGAAACTGACACTTGAAGTCACATTGACCTTTTATTTAGAGAGCATTATTATTTACACTTAGTACTACTACTAATAATTTTTTTCTAAAATAAAATAATGATTGTAATATAATATATTTTTTTAGGTTTATATATATATAGCTTTTTGTTTAAAAACATTGTGGAAAGTCAAAAAATAGTGGAGGGTGCTATTGCTATGAACAATTATATTATGGTAAATTTACATCACATTACCGGTCTATATCTCTATTCATCATCTTGCAGGAAATATAATAATAATAATTAATTATGAAATAGCCATGAGGTTTAACCATGTCTTTTAAACTAAACACTTGATAAATCAAATTCCTTTTGTGACATGACTGTTGGCTTGTTCCTGATAGGATCAACACTCCCAGGACGCAGGGTGGCCTCGGCTCCACGAACATCCCGCTGGTGGCTGACCTGACTCAGTCCATCTCCCGCGATTATGGCATCCTGAAAGAGGATGAAGGCATCGCCTTCATGTCTGTGACAATGTGCTCATGTTTGCACTTGGTCAGTTAAACTGCAGCTACTCACCCACTCTTGCTTGCAGTGCACGAATGCAGCAGGAGTTAATGATCAAGGGTGCTCGATAACATCCACGTGTACTGCAGTGTGGGCAGGGTACAGGAACTATGAGAAGAATATTAACTTTAAGCAGATTTTATTGCAACTTGGAAATCTATATCAAATGTTCAGTCGATGATTTTGAATTAATGTTCCGATTTCCGAACTTCAGCATTTGACACAGTATTATATTATATTATATTATATTATATTATACACTGCTATTTAGAAGGTTGGGTGCTTTTATTTGAACCGTAAAAGTACTGTAAAAGCAGCGATATTTTAAAATATTCTTCTATAAATATATATATAAATATAAATATATATATATATAAATATAAATATCATTCAATCTCAAGCAGAGCAAACACAAAAAATAAACCATACCGT